ATTTTCAGCCGAGCCTTTTGTTTTTCCCACCACATGTAGAGACATACAGTTTATACAATACAAAGCACTCGGAGGGGTGGACACTTCTTAGCGAGGGGCTGTTAGATAAAATTAATTTTCTATAATTATTATTGTTTTTTCAGACCAGCACTCGAACCCTAGACTTCTCAATGGTAGTACACACAGTTAACTCCACGACCATTGCGGCCGTATCTCTTTAATAAGCGGCTTAAAAAATATAGAGTTACTTGTTTCGTGGTTTCGAAAGTGCAGTTTTGTATTTTGACACCTACGAAAGTTAACTGCTAAACCAAACATGTTCTGTTTTAGTTAAAAGTCAGGCATTTATGAAAATGGATCGCTTGACAACCGCACAACATTTCAAACGTCACCACGTTTCGTGCTTCACGAGGGGATTATTTAAGGTGTACATAATTGTCCAACTACTCAAGCATTTGGAGAAATTGTAAAGAAACTTTAAGACACTGAATCGGTTATAGATATTTTAAGGCCTCTTTATCATCGTTTTGAACGTTCCACCGCAATTATCGTCACTGTAAGTGAAAGTGTAACCGAAGACCCGAATATGTCTATTTCTCGACATTCTCACGAGCTAAGACTTGTTTATGGTATAGCGTATTTTACGCCAGGACTTACATACCATTCACAACGCGTTGCATACCTCGATTGGGACTTGAACAACAAGTAGATTTTTCGAACAAAGTTTTCTTCAGTACAGAATGTGAATAAGAGGGCAAATTTTTCACTTGAGGAATACGTAAATAAGCAAGATTGTCGCATTCGGGGCCCCGAAAGTTCTTGAATAGTTGAAGAGAGGCCATTACGTCAAACAAAAAAGTTGCGATGTTTGGTCCGGAGATGTGATTGAACCTTACTTCATTTAAAAAAACAACAGCCACTGTCACTTCAGAGGGTTATGGTCATATGATAACCTTTTCTTTTTGGCCTACAATTGAAGAACACGATTTGGATAGTATAGGATATCGACAATATGGTGCCAATTGATGCACAACCCGAGCGAAAATGGAAAGAAATTTCCCGGCCGTGCAAGCTATCGTCCTGGCGATGTTTTTTGGCCACCGAGATCATGCGATTTGACACAGTTGGACTTTATTTTTTTGTGAGGCTATGCGAAAGACCTTGTTTATGCGGATAAACCTTTAACTCTTGAGCGCTTGAAAACCAACATTCATCAAGTTTTGGCTGAGATACCGCCCAATATGTGCCAGACAGTGGTTGAAAAATGCTCCAAATGGAATGAAGTTTGCAAAAACTGACGAGGCGGTTATTTGACTGTTGTAGTGTCTCACATATATCGCCAAAGCTCAAAATTTATAATTAAAATGGAATTTCATAAAAAAAAAATTTCAAAGACATTTTAATTGCGTTTTTTTTTCAAAACCGCAGAATGGTTAACCCTGTATTTATTGCATTTTATTTTCAGGCATTTTAAAATGACTTATTACTCCTATATCTAATATTATTGTTGGTAATTACAAATACAAAAGTTTTAGTTATTTGTGATTCAATTTCACTTTCATAATAAAAAATTCTATTGTGTTTAATTAAAAAAAAACATTTTTGTGTTTTTACTTCCGCCAATCAATGCTATACCCTAATACGTAGAGAACTCTTCATTTTGATGAATGTATACGAATTGTAATACAGGGTGCTCTATCTTTTATGTCGGTAGGTAAGCGCTGAATAACTTTCACATTTACCAACCGCACGATTGCATCAGATAAATTTTGGAAACGTCAATGCAGTACAATTTTGCCATGGATTGTTTCACACCGAAACAAAGCGCTGAAATAGTGACACTTTCTATCGAAAACAATTGTTCCACTATGTTAACGCAACGTGCATATCGGAAAAAATATCGCGACAAAAAGGCATCATCTGACAGATCGCCTGAATTAACCCGCCGGACTTCTTTTTGGGGGGTTATCTGAAAAGCAAACATTCTTGCTGAAATCGACACTATAATACCCGAGATGCTCGGAAAGGTAATGGCAAATGCAGAAAAAAGGAGTCATATTGTAATTGCTAATAAAGGTAGTCCCTTGATTAATATTGTTTTCAAAAACTAGTTCAAAAAATTGAGAAACTGAACTGAATAAAAATAAAGAAATGTGTTGTTTTTTCTCAAAGATATTCAGTGTTTATATACCCACATAAAAGTTGGAACACCCTATATTTTTAGAATTCTCTTCCTATACGCAATAGATTTTGACTTTTACATTTGTTTGGATCACAGTTTTAGGTCACAATAGATTTGGAAATGTATAAGATTATTCAAAACTATGTAATTTAGTTTGAAACAAACGGACACCGAAAACCCTTGATTATTTTTATATTACGGTGGAAGTGATAATGAAAATGTTAAACTATTAAAATATGAACATTTTTTCATCAATGGAAAGGAGTTCCACAGCACGAATGAAATGCTGAATGCGAGCTTCAACAACCTATCTTCGCAGGTTTCACGATCAGTCCGCTTTCGAAGTATCAGAGCGGAGAAAAGATAGGCCCCTGCAAATTTATACCGATCGGACCAGTATTTCGAATGGAATTGATTTAACAATACCGGATTATCCGTCTGTCCGTCTCTTTGCACGCAAAAACTAAACCCTCAGTTTTTGATATATTTGAACCGAACTTGGTGCGTCGATGAACTGGTACATTTGCCAGCACCAGTCAGAGCGGAACACTATTGCATACTAGTATATGCGACCGATTTTTCAGATTCAAGATTTTGGATCATAATATGCTAAAAAAGCATCTAGGAGCGTGAAATTTGTATTCTACGCATATATGATGAATGAACACATTGGTAAAGAAAATTCTCGAAATAGGGCGACTGTAATACATATATACAATAGATGTGAGAATTAATTTAATATTTAATCCTAAAATGAAATATCATACATTTGATGTGGTCAACAGAGGTATAGAGACTTCGGCATGACCGATTGCAGCTCTTCTCTCTTGTTTACATAACCTCATTTTCCACAAGCTTACGAAGTAATATGATTCTTATATTTTAAATGCCACTATCATCTTCTAAAACATGACTGGGAATATTAAGCCCACCAACTGTATTTCTGTCATGAATTTGAAGTTCTTCATAAAAAATTCATCGATCTTTCGGACATGGCTTAAAAAAACAGTTACTCACTCCATTTGTTGGAAAACCTCAAGACGCAACTCACAGCCCAAACCACTGATCGTACTGACCTGAAACTTAGAGAATGTGCTCTGCGTTTGAAGTATGCACCGGAGACGAAATGATTTTCCAGGAAGTGAATTTGGGACCGATTTATTCGAAAAAATCGTTTTATAATTTCCATTAAATTTGGTACACAGTCAACGCTTTGCCTAAATTGGCACGTGGGGCAATTTTTCTTTCGGTAAATAGGCTTGGAATCCGTAGAACAACTACATACAGGCACCGAAGGTCTTTAAGAGACAAAACTCTTCAGATTCTCAATTCATGTGCGAATAAAAATGTTAAGCTTTAGACCAACGAAAGAATCGTCGGTGAAATCACAAGCGATCAGTCCAATAATTATGCTAATGGCTTGGCTTTGGTTAAGTATAGTAGTCGCGTCACATTGACGTCTAACCAGGATATTGATAACCTTTGTTCGATGATAAACTGACATTTCTTCGATAATATATACTGCCATTGATTCGAAATGACTGCGAGTGGCATTCGACAGCCGGCACTCCTTCATTGCGTTTATGATCTCTTGAAGTTTTCCTCCCTTTAAAAGCCAATATCTGTTAGGCGAATGGTGGCTAGTGCTGAGTTCGTTTTCCTCTCTGTCCAAGTGCATTTTAGAACACCTCAGTTTGGAGAGGTGTTTGCTGTCGCTCGTGATGGCTACGTTGCACAACTGAGAATATTGCTTGTTAAAGAAAACCCAGGTTTGTCCGTTCCTCGACGTTCTTTAGAATTGGGCATACAACAGTCACCATAACACGATATTTTTATACAGTTCAGTTAACACAAGAACTCAAGCCGCTTTATCATCAAAAACATTGCACCTTTGCTAATGGGATCCTTGGAAAGCAAGTAAAAGATCCGAAATTTCATTGAAAAACTATCTTGACTGATGAGGCTCACATCCACCTCGATATGTCTACGTTAATAAGCAAAATTTCGCAACCGGGGCTCACAAAACCCAGGTTTTATTGTTAAACAGCCTCTCCACCATCAGCAAGTAACTATTTGGTGCGCTTTATGTTCCGGCGAGGACATTGCACATTTTGTTTTCTAAAATGAGGCGGGAGCAACAGTTACGGTGAATGGATTGCGCTCTCGAGAGATGATTAATGATTTTTTATGGCCGGAATTGGTTGGTATTGTTCTGGACAAAATTTACTGTCAACAAAACGGCGCTGTGAGCCACATAAGCAACGAAACCATTGATCTTGAAAGGAAAAAGTATTGGGGGAGTGTTATCTCTGGAAGAGTTGATCGCAATTGGCCACCGAAAGCTTGTGATTTAACGCCTTGCGGACTTCTTCCTTTGGGGCCACGTGCTTATTTCACCATATTGGATCCGTGATTTTGAATGTTCGAAAATTGTCCTCGGATTTCGTATCAGCGAGACCAAAACTCTCATGAATACTTAAAATACAGGTATTTAGCAAATCAAAAACCTTCGGGAGATTAGTCGGGGAGTCCTGTTTCTGATTACAAAATCGTGTTGGCCTGTCGGCATATTTTCCTCTTTACATTAAAATAAATATCGCGACAGTTACTGCCATTTTTCTTTGAATATCGAAATAACACTATTGCTTGAAAATCTCGTTTCAAATATCTGCCTAGTATTTAATGTTCTAGTCCACCTGAACTTAGTCTTCTTTTGCCTTTTATCAATTGGTCAGACTTGTACCATTTTTAGAGGAAATCCAAAAAATAAAAATTATAATAAATTTATTTTATTTATGTTTTGCATATTTCCACTTACATTTTCTTCAATTTCGTCTCGTCAAAACTCTCCAAACGCTTATAGCTAATGCTGCACTTATCTCGCCCGCCACTCAGCATGCTCCGCACACCACAACCACCAACCACCGCGTCGTCCAAATCGCGATATTCCAAAAAACTAGCACTTTTTCGCAAACTCACAGCGGATTTCGAACTGTTGCGCCAATATTTTAGCATTTTATGAAAAGCACCATGATCACCATGATCAGCGAGATCGCACTGCAGCGTATTCAAACTGACATTGCTGTCGAACCTTGTACTATTCAGCGTTTTGTATGAACTCATTTTTAGTATGTTTTTGAAGATAAAGTTAAAATGGTAATTATGAAAATTATGAAAATGTGTGTGTAGGACGGCATTGAACGTTTTTGATTGAAATAAAATTTTTGTTTAAATTTTCTTAAATGCAACATACCGCGAATTCTCTGCCTTACACAATAAAACTTCCAACCGCAAAGTGTTAAAAATCGAAACTGACAATTTACTAGATTTCTGGTCGCCACTGACTGCTGCCTGCACTCTGCTAGCTGCTCGCTGCTGGCTGCTGTTGGCTGCTGGCTATGGTCCGTCCACGCTTTAATGTTCTGCGAATGTGTAATGTGTAAGCGCGATTACAATTGCATTTCCTTACTTCTGATTTTTCTATTGTATAATTGTTGTTGTTTTGTTGTGCACTCTTTCACAACCGAGATTTTTTTATTTTGTTCTTTCATTACATTTACGGCAGCAACACAATAACACAACAAAAGCAATACCCGTCTAATTGTCACTGCAAAAGTTGTTGCTGCGAAATTAAATAGAATAATTTACAGTAGCTCAGCTGAGCTCAGCTTAAAGCTTGTAGAGTCGGCTCAGAGCTATGCGGGATGTAAAGCGGCTTATGAATAGTGTAAGTGAAGGCACTTACATATATATATATGTATGTACATACGCACTGATATACTGATAGCTAGACAAATACAGTGTTTTCTAATGGGAGTTGTTATTTTGATATTCAAAGAAAAATTTAAATGCATTTTTTGACATAAATGATCGGATGTTTATTTTAATGTAAAAACTGAAGATATGTCATTTATAATGGAAATCAATATCAGCTTAAAGGACCTTATCCTTTTTAGGAAATTTGCCAACACCAAATCGTAAAGTGGCTACTGTATGCCATCAAAAGCTTCACGAAATCCATCTTTGAGGTCATGAAGCGACGTTGAACTGTTGGCAAAGACCTTTTATTTCACGTGGTCCTAAAAAAAGGAGTCGTAAGGTGTTAAACCACAAGATTTCGGTGGCCGATTGCGTTCACCTCTTTGAGAGACAACACGCTCCGGATACTTTTTCCCTTCAAGATCGATGGTTTCGTTGCTTGTGTGGCTCACAGCGCCGCTTTGTTGACAGTAAATGTTGTCCAGTTCAATACCATACAATGCCGGCCATAAAAAATCTTTAATTATCTCTCGAGAGCGCAATCCATTCACCGTAACTGCTGCTTCCGCCTCATTTTAGTAAAAGTAGCATTCAATGACCGCGCCAGAACATAAACCACACCAAACATCTAATCGCTGAGGCTGGAGATCCTGCGTTTTGCAAGCTCCGGTTACGAAAGTTTTGTTTATTGAGTATGTCATCTAAGTAGAAATGAGCCCCATCAGTCAAGAGCATTTTTCGATGAAATTCCGAATAAATTTCATGCATATCAAAGACTCATTCAGCAAAAAGAGGACTTTGGTGATGATCGGCCGTCTGAAGTCCTTTTGTTAACTGAACTTTTTAAGCCTTAAGACCCAAGCTCTTATGCAAATTACGGTGTAAGGACGTCTGTGGAATGCCCAATTCCGGAAAAATACGAGGAATAGACAACTCTAATTTTCCCATAAATTTCTGTACTGCGGTCCGACAAGGTGCTTCACGACGACCGAAAAATGTTTTAGTTTTCCGAATCGTGCCAAGTTTTCATCGTTTTTATAGTGAATTTTATTAATTTAAATGCGTTGTTTAAGCGTGTGTCATTCCATTTTTATCATTGACATAGATTTTACTTGGTAAATGTCAAAAAAATGACAGCTGCGAAGGTGACATCTACCGGATTTGCAGGGTTTTCAAGATAACAACTCTTATTGGAAAACCCTTTATATTTTATTGACATATACATATATACATATGTATGTAGCGCACATACTTATGTACATTTAATCTCATATTTTTTACTCTTTAGTTTTTGTTACAAAAATCAAAAAAAAAAAAATAAAAATAAAAATAAATATACAGAAAATGGAAGGAGCCAAGAGAACTCTCATACGTCAAGCACAAAAACAAATACAAAGTGTTGCGCAAAAGTGCGCTCATGCCGAGATTAATGTATAGCGATTTATGTAATTTAAAAAAATTATAAATGAAATATATATTTTTTTAATTAAATTCTTACTTTCCATCAAGTGGAATGATGTATAAAGTGGCGTAGAAATAATGAAAATTAAAAATTTATCTTTTTTTTTGCTTTTTTGTGAAAGAGAACTAAAAGTCGATGAGAAATTCATGTCAGTGTTAAAAATACACAAACATATACACATACATATATACATACGTATGTACTCAGATAATTATGACTACAGTGCGTCAGCAAATATGTAATTAATATGGAATATATAAATATATATATATATATATGTATATACATGTAAGTATGTATGTACAAGTTTGGTCACAATCAGCTTCACGACCAACAAAGGAATTCTCCAGCGTTACGAGTTGTAAACAATTGTTCACAATGCCAATTGAATATAAACATTTACATATATCTACATACATATGTATGTACATACTTAATTTTTAACATATTAACATACATATAATATTTTTCACAAATACTTTTTATTGGCATTTTGCCAGACTCTAAGGCGTCATTTATGGTTGATAAAAGCAAATAACCCAAACTCGCTTGAGTTTATTTATTGTAAACTAAAAACAATATAAAACAAGTAAGGAAGACTAAGAACGGGTGGATATGCACACTAAATAGTCGGCTGATGTATGTATATATGTATATAGGTATATATGTACATATAATTGGCACTTTACAACCGCTGAAGCGATTGCCGAAAATCGCTCCTTCTCCAATTGTGGTTTTGTTCTTCTAACAAATCAAATGTAGGGATCTACAATTTATTTCGGCCCTCGAACGGCCGATGGGTTTCAATGACGAGTTTTTATTTTATGTCAGAAATTCACTTGAAGGGCTTGACATTCATTCAGACCAAAACCAGTACACGAACCCTGGCCTACCGAAAGGCACTAGGCCACTCGGCTATTGCGACCGGTTGATATATGTATACATATATTAGGTCAACTAACTAGTCATCCATTACTTTCACATTAAATTGAAGGCGTTATTTACCGTTGTTAAGATTATCCGTTTTTGTCGATGACTTCTTGCCATTTCCATTTTATATATTATTATGGCTCGCCCGTAATGGTTGTATAAGAACCTCCCAACCAAGTTCTCAGAGATTCTGGCGAGCCACTATCGATGTGTGTGGTCAGGCGTAGTCTGAACGAAACACAATTCACCTCATACTGGCCAAAGCAAGGCGTTTCTGGATGATTGCTTCCTGCAAAAGGTCCAATTGGTGACAGCACAGGTCTGAATTAAGAGTTTGACCGGAGCAGAGCAGCGCCAAACACATAACAAAACCTTTCTGGCCATCAATCCTCATTTGCAGACCAGATGGTACCAAATCCCTGCCCTAAATCAACTTTATCGCGCAAGTCCTTGTTTCAGAAACACTAGAATTTAGATAAAATTCTTCTTCTTCTTATGTACTGGCAAAGGCGAAGCTTACGCAGTTATGGCCTTGTTAAAAACAGTGCTGAAATAAAACTAATATACCAAGTACAACTAAGTCCATCTCTAACGACGGAGTGGGGACTTCCACGGGTCGAAGGCTTTCAAAGCTGGTGTATTCCCATCTATTCGGACACCATGACCTAGCCCACACAGCCGTTGTTCCTTGATTAGCTGAACTATGTCAAAGTCGCCGTATAACTCGTACAGCTCATCATTCCACCTTCAGCGCTATTCGTCGTTACCTAAGGGCAAATAAACTTAAATCTTACGCAAGATCTTTCTCCAAAGGCTGACTCATCAGAGGTTGTTGTTGTCCATGCCTACGCTTTATGTAGGAATGACGAGTGACTTGCATACTCAGTCCAAAGCTGCACCTGTTGGTAGCGATGATTCTGGGTAGGATTTCCAGACTGGCATTGCTCTTGGTTTTTATACTGATTTCAAGAGAGACGAAATTATTGACAACTTGAGAGTTATGACCGTCAGCAATGACAGGTCAGCCGAATAGCGAATGTTTGCTTGATGATATTTTGATTCACCTCGCTTCCTTATCTCATCGATAGAAGACAAAACTAACGGCGTACGACAGCAGCTGTGCAATATTGTTGAAGATTACCTCTCTCTATTCAGCTCTGCAACTCTATTATTTTCCCAGTTGCAGACTGGAAGAAGCATCGGAAACTTTAACTTACTTTCTTTGTTAATGCCCCGTCTAGTCTGAAGTCTCTAGGAGCTGTAACCTTTGTAGACCTGAGCGAGATAGCGGGGGCTCGAATGTAAAAACTCTCAGTTTTGCAAACTCCGCACATTGGTTCGATTGTCGTGTGATAGTCTTAGGGATCCTCAGTGATATCAAAGTTGACTCTTCTGGAGCCAAGGTGAGCCGATACTTGGCAGCCACTTCAACCAACTATTAATTTCTCCAGCAATAGATTAAAGAAATCAGATGATGAGGTGTCTCATTGTCTGAAACCTCATTTGAGGAAGAGGACCTTCCGGATCCTGACGGAACTCACGGTGTGGCTTAAGGCCATTTACATAGTCGTATAATTTTTGTTTAGATACTAAATGCAGACATGGCTTCTAAGTGTCCTCTCCATTAACTCAGTACGCATATATGTACATAAATCTCATCCATCTGAAGTCTCTGTAAACTTTAGTGACAGATGATGGATGAGATGTATGTACATATATGCTCTCCTAAATTTTTATGAAGATCTTGCTTTTAACAGAGAATAGCGCTGGAAAATAAATGAAACAACAGTACTTGGATGGTAAAAATATGAATTCCATAAACACACAGTTTTTGAGTAAAAAAAGAAATAAACCAAATAAATGATGACCTTTGAACATTTAAAGCCAAAGTATAATTGCTAATTGAAATTCGGCCACTCATTGCCCATAACTCCGCCGCATTCTTTCATTTTGGATTCATTCGAACAGCTGTTACCGCCGCTGAGCCAGCCGTACACACCGCGTCCCTTACCTCGCTATCTCCACGTCCACTTCCAACTGTGCTCCACAAACTAGGATATAATTTGTAAAAGGCAAAGGTTTTTCAATAGATCATCCCGCTGAGGATAATACGCACGGCAGGCGCTAACCAAAATGAAGAAGGAAAACCTAGAAATGGTAAAGGATGAGTTATGAATTGCTTGCCATCGCAAGTAGAATGCCTTTTTTTCACCCCACCACAGCTGTTTATCATGGCAGAAGTCAAATTGTTTTTATGAATGTACAT